TATGGGAGTATACCGGGTGGGGGTGGGAGGCCTGCGTGCTCCGCCGCGCTGTCGCTGCAGTGAGGGGGAGGCCCCCTCTCATGTGCGGCCAACGGCTTCGCGGATGCCGCGGCTAACCCTCCCCCATCCCGACGCAGACGCGGGGCTTCCTTTGAAGGGGTGGCGGTGGGAGAGAGAACGGCCTCGGCCTTTCTTTTTCCCACCCCCCTCCCTCCCTCCTTTGGAGGGGGGAGCTCTCTATCCGCCGTCGTGCTCGGGGGTGAGACCAATCCCAGTCTCTCAATGATCATCGGTATCAAGTCCTCAATGATACCCGGCAGCCTCCTCCGGATCTCCTTCTCCCCCACAGCAGTGGGGGCGGGAGGAGCTCTTCCTCTGTTTCCTCTGTGTTCCCCCGCCGCCCGGTCCCGCGCGCGCGGTCGGGGGGAACCCTTCCCCTCCTCGGGCCTGTCTGTCCTCCCCATCGCGCCCAATGCCGGGCTGACGGGGAGCAGTTCCACAGCTGGGGCAGGCGCGGAAGGAGGAGGAGGAGGAGGCGGAATCCTTCTCTCCAGATTCCGCACCTGTTCCTTCAACCTCACTTTCTCCTACCTGAGCTTTCCTACCATCCTCTGGAGAGCTTTAAGCTCCTCTCGGAGTCTCTTCTCTGGGGTAACCCCCTCCTTCTTCCTGATTTTATTGGGTCTTGCGGCGGCGCCACCGTTACTCACCCTATTATCACTCGAGGGTGTTGCACCCCCTCTGGTTTCCCCCATTCTTCTTCCCTTCGGGGTTGCGTACTCCGAGTTGGAGTCTCCTTCCGGGGAGGAGAAGATATCCTTTCCCTTCCTCTTAACATTGGTGGGAGTGAACCCATCACTCGCCCCCATCATGCTCACTTCCATCCCCAGTACGCTTTGGCTGTAGCGATTGCTCGGCGTTGCGGTCTGTCCAGCCTTGTTATTGTCCATCCGTAGGTCATTTGTAGCTTGTTGCATGCCTTTGTCGTCATTGTTTAGTCCGTCCTTAATGTTTGTATTTTTTATGTTTGTGTCAGTCTCCATATTGTTCCCACGAAATAGGTAGGAAATATGGGTCCATCCCTGCAGAGCCTCCTTACCGGTATAAGGCGACTAACATACTGTGGGATTGCGCCAGCTGCCCCACAGGGATCGTTTGCGACCGCACATTTTTAGAGTCTCTGCGGCCATTCAGCCCTTGGCACGATGCCTTCCACCTTGGCTTGAGACTTCCGCGCTACTGTCCCGGACCCGACACACCAATCGGCGCGCACGCCTTACGAGCCCCCAAAAAGAAACTGGCCCGCTCGGCGCACGCCTCCGACTGGCCAGCGGGGAGACTCGCCCCGCCACCCGCCCGCATGAGGCCCGACATGCGGCGGGTCAAAAGCAACGGACCGCCCCGAAAGCGCGCCCCCGGGTAGAATGCGGATTCCCCCGAGCGACGCGTCCCGGCACGACCGCCGCCCCCTCACCACCACATGCCGGCCCGCAAGAGAACCACAGGTCCCCACCCGAGCGGGCGTGAATGATGTGAATTGTGTGTGTGTGTATGAAGTGTGTATGTGAATGAAAGGTGAGTGAGTGTGTGTGCGTATGCAGCACGGGAAGCGGCACCCCACGCATCTCCACGATGCGCGGGGGTCCCCCGCCGAATGCATGCATGACCCCCGACTTCCGAGCATCTTCGCATAAGCGAAGGCGCCCAGAGAGTTCGGGGGCCAGGAATGTGTGTGTATGAATGTGTGTGTGAATGGTCGCGCGAGCCGGGGAAGGACGACTCCCGGCCGAATGCGACGAGTCCGGGTACAGCCGGAGAGGAGAGCAGCGCACCTCCCCCCGCCAATCCTGTGGTTTGATTTCGGAGTGTCTGTCTCCTAGGCCGACTGCCCACACAGGGCTAACGAGCTCGGCCTGCCCGGGTCTTTTTATAGAGGTTTTACCACCCTTGCGGCCCGTCCTAGCTAAGCTAGCACCGGCCCCCGGCCCCATTAACTGGGGTTAGGGTATGAGTCGCCACGCCCCCCCACGTGCCATGGGGGGCTCGACCGTTATGCCGAAGCATCGGCGTGCTAACGAGGCTGGTCAGGCCCCGGCTTTTTATCGAGGTAATGCTCCTCTTTCCTGGTGGGGTGAATAACACTCCTAACGGATCCAGGCCTCCGGGCGATTGAAGTCAGGGCCGCCAACCCCTACCGGCTAATCGGGACAAGTCTCTTGAGGGGTAGCCGGACCCCCGTTCCCCCCAGCGGGAGAACTGTGCGCTCTTAGCACCGTGAAACGACCCCAGCGGGCCATCCCCCGGTGAGCCCTCTCACCACGACAAGGTGGCGCACAACGAGAGGGAGGGAGGAGGAACCTAACCTAACCTTGCAACCGGTTCCTGGATGCTCGAGGAACGATCCGGAGATTAAGCTGAGGAGGCTCTTCGGGGACCTCTCCCCGAAAAACAAATAATTCATATTTACGTAGATATAAGACATTATGTAACCATAGGCTAAGTCTGAATAAAATAAATAATTTCACTTAACCAATATTATAAAATAAAACAATCATTAGAAATACATTAATCTTATAATAAGAAACGTAAATAAAGCACGAACAAGCATTCAATATAGGTTAAATAAATACTTACCATACTTACCGTATAACCAGTAGACATTACCTGAAATAATAAAACATTGTTAATCTTTTCTTTTAAATTTAGTTAGGTTAACAAACAACAAGGTCAGAAAAATGTAAATGTAATGACCATTATTAATTTTATTATGTATTTAAAAAATGCGATAATTTTAAGTTCAAAAATCGCGCCTGCTCAACCGTTGACCGAGCTGATCAGACGCGGACTATTCCAAGATGGCGACAACTGAGGGTCACCAGACGGATCTCCACGATTGGAGGAAACTTTGCTGGGCTCTGATTGGACACTGCACCAGCAGAAGGGAGAACAGTCGGATCCAGGGGTATAAAAGCTGGACCCGAAAGAGCTCTCCAGTGATTTCAGCGAGGAAACCATCACTCGGCGGAGTGATGGGTAACGCGTCACTCAATTGTAATACGCGAACCACCGAAATGTTGTCGGCGTGTGTAAAAACGTTGTAAGCCATTACGGCTGATTATATATGTGATTTTATTTTGTTTGGTGTTAAATATATTATTTATTTTAACTAATCATCAAAATAAGGTGTGTAAAGATTATTTCGGTCCGAACCTGAAAAAGATAGTTGTTAGTACTTACCTCATCTGTTCTGCATCCTGGTGATCCATCGTCCGTGCGCGAGGTGAACCTACGAACAAACAAAAAATGGATTAGAACGAGATACGCTGCAGCATATCATCAGGCGTCATCGTCCATGCTGAGGGAAGCGACATCCGAGCCCAAGGGTCACAAAAGGACGAGACGAGGATCTCAACCTTCTCGTTTGTAAGGTTAAAACGAGTGGCGACCAATCTACGGCGAACGTATTGCTGCCTGCGACTGGTGAGTCCTGGTTATTATCTATCCATCGGGCGCGTCCGGTTACAACCTAACCTTGCAACCGGTAGGCGGATGCAGCCGGAACGAGCCATCCGTTAAACAGGACTAAACCCATAAGGGGAAATCCGACATCCTGCCAAGAAACAATAAGGGGTAGCTGAGCAGAAACCAAGACCCAGACCAGCTACGTGACAATAAATATAAAAGTCATAGGTTAAAACTTCTAAAACTTTAGAAATACACGTAATTAGGATAATGCGTCGTAAATATAACCTCCCTGTAAAAATAAGTTAGGTTTAGGAATAGCAAGTAAGCACCCGTATATAACCTATACTTAATAAATACTTTATTAGCATTAAATCATTACAATTACATTTCTTAGAAGATAGATAAAGTAGTTGTAGGAACCTCAGTAGCGTAAGCCTGTAAAATAAAAAATATATGTTAATAAAGTACAGATAGAAATTCATGTTAATAAATAGTAATAGCTTAGCCTTTTTTTTTTTTAAGGTCAGGAAAATCCATTACGGATACCCGCAGCCCTCGGGGGAGGAACTGCAGGTTATGTGGGACTCTCCCCGGCCAGCCGACCGGGGCCTACCCACTAAAACCCTACGAGTGGCCTACACCGGCATGATGCAGGGACCCGGGGAACTGCCCGAGGGTATAACGTCCCGGGCCCCTGCTGCCTGACGCTCTAAGAGCATCGCTCCTCGTCCTAACCCTCCCAAAAGAGAGTTAGGACCTGCTGGGAGGACCACTACCCCCTCCCAGCACTATCTCGCGTAATGCGGGGGGTGGAGTCGGTGTTAGGGCCCCTGCCCCATACACCGGTCTCCTCTGACGCCCGGCCGGCGGGAAGAGCGGGAGGGATGATGTCCTCAGAAGAAGACCCCCATTTCCACTCGACCCCCGGCCGGAACCCGTTAGGGAGGGTGCGGAGGAAACCGCCCCCCCCGTAGATGCGCGGGTGGTCGCCGCCGACGGCCAACCAGCCGTCGACGACGGGGAGCACCCGCGCCGTCCGCGTGAGGATCATCCGGGGGGTGGGCTTCCCCCCGTCTGATCCTCTCGGCCTCCTCCTTCTGGGAGATAACATTCTCGCAGAAGGTGGAGACCGCCCTCCAGTTTTCCTCTCCCTCCAGCATTCTCTCAACGAGAGTGGGGAGGGAAAGGTCACAGCCCACCACTGCGAGCAGAACCCGGCGCTCGGCATCCCACGCCGGACACACTTCAAGAGTGTGCTGCGCCGTGTCCCGCCCGGCCGCACAGTGGTGGCACTTGGTCGTGCGTTCCCGCCCAATGTTGTGCAGGTACTCACCGAAACATGTCCGGTGAGCACCTGCGTCGTTCTAAAGGACAGCCCGCATCCCCTCCGCCCCAGCCACTGCCGGAGACGGGGGTGGATGGCCGTGGCGACCCTACGGCCCGAGAGATATTCTACCCGGGCCACCCGCCCGAGGAATTGCTCCCACGAGCAAATGGCCCGAGCCCGGGCCTGCCATCTCATACGGTCGACCGCGCCGGGA